CCCCCCCCCCCCCCCCCCCCTTTCAAACGGAGCCCCCTCCTCAAACATGGGGTCTATTGTAAAACTGTTGGCGGGTGCAGTGTAGGTCTGCATCTACATTCCTATTAAATGTTGATCGATGCAGCCGTTTCCATGCTACAATTGACCAACAATCTCCAAAAATAAATAAATAAATAAATAAATAATAAGCAGTATAAAAACACTATCACCCCCGCTTCACGTGCAGGGCTCATGAAGGGTAATAAAGGTAAACAGTTGGAACTTTTTCACTGAATCAATCCTTAACAGAAGAATCTACATGGAAAACAGATGCCAACATACCAAAAGTCATAAAGTAAATAATTATCTGTGCCTTCAACATTTTTACTGATGTTTGCAGAGAATTACTATTGATCAAGTAAAACCAGTGTGGTAATACAGCTGCTGCTATATGACTGCAGGCTCCAAATGAAACCCCGCTTTAGGACTAGTTTAATTCTTTTTGTTCGTTTCTGCTTACTTTCTTGTTGAAACTTTCACTCACGTATTCTCTTTTTACTTCCTCCAGCTCTTGGCTCCAACATAACTGACAACAAAGAAAGCAGCTTAGTTTTCCTGCTGTGAAGTATTCCCCAGTTGTCCTGAGCTTCACTGATCCTGCCTCAGATTGACACATCAGCATCTGTTCTGCTCCCTGTTAACTCACCTGCAGTCACTTTAATAATCATGTTTATACTCGAGAGTTTTCACCAATCCTTCTTTCAAGCTCCATGATGGTCCAGCCTTATTTCCTGACTTTTTTTTTTGTTTTTATTCATTGAGCTTTCACTCTCTAAACTCCTTGCTCTGTCTTCACTTTATTATTTAATCAATCTAGTTATTTTATCATCTGCTTCTTTASTTCGATACAGATGGCAGAGTACAAGTTAGCAGATAAGCAATTTCCACGTTTAGGTTTATGAGAAATAAAAAGCCATGGGTGCACGAAGCAATGCATATCTGGCAGAATCTGTTAGTTGCTCAAGCAGTGTTGGCYGTGCAAAATAATATGTGTTAGGAAGGAGTTCAGAGAGATGATTCATACAAAGCCAAGAAGGTAAATAAGTAAGCTTTTCATTGTAAAGAAAAAAGAAACAACAGAGTAAATAGATCAGAATATAAGAAATTAAATGAGATCTGTWGAAATCTCATCAAATATCTGTTGAGAAAAATAAATAAATGTACTTCAAGTTCATTTATTCTAGAGTATTTTAAAACAGAAAATGTATTTAAATTTGTTTGTGGCACTCTTCTGTCATTGAAGTTACCAAAGTTTTTGATTAAATTTACAGGTGAAAACTTTTCCAATATATACTGAGCTATAAATCGCACTTTTACATT